CTGTTGGACCAATTACATTTTCAAAATTTTGAGTACTTAAGAAGTCTGTGGTAACCCAGATTTCTTCTTATTTACAGAAAGTCGGCACCCTAGGAAAGGACTAATCTGCTTTCACCTCATTGTTCCAGTATGAACGAGTGTGCTTAGAGGTTGATTAAATATTTTTCCTTCTGACCATGGGAAAGTATGTCCAAATCCTTAAGTAATTACATTCTTAATACAGACTTTTCTCATTTTCTTACACTAGCTGGAAAGGCAGGGCAGCTTTCAAGCCCCTGCACTTTTCATTTGAGTGATGGCGACTTTAAATTGAACTAGAAGCACTTTGGTCGCTTAACCCTCTACTAGCTAAGTTTAGAAAGCATAACATTTCAAAGTGGTTTATTTCATAAGATTCTTTGCATTCTTTGATGGCTTGAGACAATATTTGAAGCACTGAAATAAGCCTGTACTTAGAAGAAAAAGAATGTTTTTAACCTAATCTAAAAATTGGATTTCAGACGATCAGATCAAAAGTTTAAATGTGTACATTTATGGTTTTTCAGTGAGATAACCTGATTATTTAAAGAGTTAATAATAGAGGGGGCCGGTATAGCTCAAGTGGTAGAGCCCATGCCTAGCATGCACAAGGTCCTGGATTTGATTCCCAGTACCTCCTCTAAAAACAAACAAACAAATAAGTAATTAAATTCCCCCCACAACAAAAAACAAAACAGTTAAGAATAAAATATCTGACCCATTGTTATAAGCAAATATTGCCTTAAAAGAACGTTGTGAAAATTTAGGAACTTTAGACAGTTGTACATGATCACACTTAATACATCCTTATGTGTACTTTATTTTTGTTCAAGTCTGTCATTCCCAGTAGATTGTGAATTATCTAGAGGCATACATTTGTTCATCTTTTTGTTCCCAGTACCTAGCGCCTGTCTTATAGTAAGGATTCATTTAATGTTCATTGACTGAATATTTTTTGTTGTCAGCATCATTGTTAAATCCAGGCACTGGGCTCAGCTGGCTGTTGGTGAATCTGCACATCTGCATGGAGTATGCCTGTTTCAATCTTAAAGACTCGTTAATGCCGATGCTTCCCTCCCCCCAAATCCTTGACTTGTGCGTCTCAGCCAGTCAGCGTTCAGTTCTACCTTAAGTCAGAAGATGGTGTCATTTGTGTATTTGGGGGTTTTTTGGGGGATTTTCTTGGTTTTTTTAACTCAGGATGACATACTTTCTTTTTAGTAGACGTTCTTGGAATTCTCTTATGTTCTGCTCTCACAATAGACAAGATACACTGTTCCGTTTTTATTACTGTTTCCTTATTCATACAGGTAATCTTTTTGTACTAAATATAGAATCATGGAATAATTAAGCAAGAAGAACCAGAAAATTCTGTAGATTAGAAGAGCAATAAGAGGGCTTAGACCTATCAGATATTATATTAAAATATAATATAAAGCTTTAATTGAAACTATGTGGCACTGGTACATGAGGAGACAGACATATAGTGGAATAAATACAGAGTCCCAAAGGAGATCTAAATATATTTGGAAATTTAATAAGTTACCTAAAAGACATTTTAAATCAGTTGGGAAAGTGACAATTGTTTTAAAAATGATGTTAAGGCCATTTGGTAAACATCTGAAAGAAATTAGGTTGTATCCTTTTTTCTACGTTACACCAGAATAAATTACAGATGGAGCATAAATGTAAATGTAAAATTATGAAACCATTAAAGTGCTAGAAAAAAACATGAAAATGTTTTTATAATCTTTGAGTGATAGTGGCCTTTTTAGTTATATTGCACAACCCAGATGCCTTTTTAAAAAATGATGAACTTGACCACTTACCAGATTTCCACACGGCAAAAGAGCATGGCATACGCAGTCAAAAGACAAACTAGGGAAGTCCAACATACTTTTTAAACTCAGGGTTAGTTTCCTTAATATATAAAGAGTTTTTCAATTAGTAAGACCATAAATCTAACAGTACAATGGGCCAACGTTACAGAAAAGGAAATGCAAGTTCCTTTAAACATATGGAAAGATATATAATGTACATTACAACCACAGTGAAATGCCATTTCTCAGATTGGCAAAGATGGAAAGTCAATAGTATATCGTGTCAGTACAGATGTGGGGAAATTAGCTCTTGCATACATAACATTGCTGATGGAAATATAAAGTGGCACGACTTCTATGAAAAATAGTTTTGTGCTATGAAACTTATAACCCTCACAACATTGTAAAATGATTATAAATCAATAAAAAATGTTAAAAAAAAACTTACAACCCTTATACCCAGCAATTCCAATTCAAGAAATGTATCCTAGACATATTCACAAATGACATACGTGCAAGAATATTTCTTTTTTTCCCAAATGGTTATACCATTTTAAACCAACAGTATTCAAGTTCTAGATGGTCCAAATCATTGCCAGAATTTATTTTCCTGTCTTTTAAATTTTAGCCATTCTAGGAGTATTCAGTGATATTTAATTTGCATTTCTGGTATCTGATGCTGGGTTTTTTAGGCATTCCTGTATCTTTGGAAACATTTTTAAGTCTTTTGCCTTTTTAAAAAGTTGAATTGTTCCTATTATTGAGTTGTTTAATTTTTTATATATTTTGGATACAAATCCATTGTCTAATGTTTTGTTAATATTTTCCCCTGTCTTTCGCTTGCCTATTTATCTTCTCAATAATTTTTTGAGGACAGTATATAATTTTGATGAAGTCCAAATGATCAGTTTTTTTCTTTGATGGTTAATGCCTTTTGTGTTCTAAGAAATTTTTGTATACTCCAAGATCAAGAAAATATATATACTCTTTTTTTTTTAACCCTGGAAGTTTTATTTCTTTAGCTTTTATATTTAGCTTTTTGTTCCCCATCAGAATTTCAAAATGGTCTATAACCAAAAAGAGGGGGAGAAAAAAAGAGTTAGACTGCTTTAGACTGCCGTTTAGTGTTTTAGATTTGTTAATATGGACAGCACTATGTCATACTGTCCTTTCTCTCCATAAAATAGTTTCTGAATTAATGGAGAGAATGACATTGCTTTTGATAAGGTAGATATAACTGGCTTTATTACACCTCTTAAGTAACTTATTAATTCATTTCTAAATAATCCTGTGTTACGAATTTTAATATTAGATGAGTATGTGGCCCACCTGGACCTGCCCTTTCCTGGTGACCTTTCCTGCTCTAGGGCAGTGCGGCATCAGCAGTGCCATGAACACTGCAGAAAGGTCAGAGACCTGAGTTCGGGTCTTCACACAGTCACACCTTCTCTCAACCAACAAGCATTCCCATTTCATCTGGAATAAAATCTGAAACATGAGATTTGAGGCCCCACAGAGTCTGAAGCCAACTTACCTTTTCATTTCTGCAATGCCATGCTGTTTCCTGTTCCCTAGAGTTACTTTGTACTAGGCCCAACTCTGCGTCTTTGTTTATGCTGTAATCTTCAGCTGGATTGTTCTCATTCCTTTTCAGCCTGCCCCAGATTTATCCAGTTAATCTGTTAAATCCCCACTAAAACTCCACATCCTCCTTGAACTCTCTCCCAACCTCTCAGAAGCAGGAATTAATTTGTTTGCGCACATTTTATGTACAGTCTCTCCACTAGCTTCTAGACTTCTGAATGCTGGGAGGGCACAGTGCTCATTTTATGTCTGAGTGATGCTCCATCTAGTTGCTCACACGGGGCAGGCTGGTTGTAAGGCGCCTTTCTGATGCAGAGCTGTGTGACAGAGCTAAGTCCCCAAGCAGCAGTGTTCTTTGTCATGGGTTTTGCGCTAGATAGTGTTTTTCAAACTCTCAGCTTGTGACCCATTTACTGTTTGTGAAACCAATTTTGGTGGTTCAAGAGCATCATTCAAAAAATGAAATAAGAGTAGAATAGAAGATAAAGGATTACATAACATGAGTAAGCATTCTATAGTAAAAGGTTTGTTTCTAGTTTTATATCTGCGTATGGGTTTAGTAGGTTGTAATGTATCTCTTACTGTGGATTGTATTTTAAAAAATTGAAATAATACTGTTTAGATTTTAACCTCTATGATGAATTTTGAATTTTAAAATTTATAGAAGAGACCTTTGGAATTTTAATTAACTTTGATGTTTCTGAAAATTTATATTAAATGATTTCACATAATCTTGTACTATCCTCTGTTAATTGTCTACCAAATTGCCCTTAGGTGAATCATTTTTTTCTTCAGTATCTATTGTATGGTCTTCATTTTGTATTTGGGGTACATGACTGAATTATAAATATATAAATCATTTTTTTCTAAAATAGCGTATTTGAAGAAACATTAGAGGGTTAGTATCACAGATGTTTCCCTGAAATTTCTGTAATGTTTTAAAGATTTCTCTTTATTTACATTTATTAGTCTAGATTGCTTATGGAAGTATGTTGACAAGACAGTGCTTTTTAAAACATTAGAATGGAGTGAATATTATCAGCTGAGTTGATCAATTTAAAAAATTATGACTAAGAATAGTGAAATTCCACTTTGGAAAATAAGTATATTTCATATATAAATGATAATGCTCTCACATATGAAAGTAAATTTCACTTTGTTATTAACTAGCATTTTTTTAACATTTTTTATCGATTTATAATCGTTTTACAGTGTTGTGTTACTAACTAGCATTTAAGAGAGAACTTGATTTTGAAACTGGGTGTTCTTAGCAATCAACTCAGCAATAATCATATATTAAATATTTCTTCCAAAAGAAAGTAGAAACTTGAATCTTCTAAATCAGCACAGGCATCCCAATTGGTGACACATTATTTTTAAAGAGGCTTTTAATCAAATGTGCATTCTTGCGATGGGAAAGCAATTACTAATAGGGTCGTTTAGTATTTACAGTAAAGCTGTTTCTGGTTGACTTCATTTAAATTTGTGATTAAAACCTTTCCTGGAATTCTGGAGCCTGGTAATTGGGAAGTTACTATGTTAGTAATGCCTGTGCCTCTCTCCTCCACTCCTCTTTAGGGTCAGTATAGACCGTCTGACTTGCTGTGTCCTGAGACGTATGTTTGGGTGCCCATCGAGCAGTGCCTGCCTTCCCTTGAGAACTTCAAGTACTGCCGTTTCAACCAGGACCCGGAAGCAGGTATGTCTGGAGCAGAGCTTGGCTGGAAATCACTGGCTTTGTTTTAAAATCCATGTGTGATGTTGTGGCAATCAACAGGGTCCAGGTAGCTTTTTATGGATCGCAGGGTGCGTGAGTGCCTGCGCACGCCTGTGTTTATGAGATAAAGGAGGATGCCACGTGTGTATACACACACAACACTCACACTTGGGGTTTTGCAGATAAATGCAGAAACCTCGTGTGCTTGTGCTACTTACGGCCCATTTGGTTAGTTTCTCCACACTTTGAGGGCTGACATCGCTCTGCATTACTTTCATAGCTATCAGAGTCCATCAGAATTGTTCACTAGATTATTTAGCCATTGTAAGGAAGATAGGAATATTGACCAATTGGACTAAGTTATGGAATGGCTTCAGGGGGGCCGACAGGCTGTGATGGGTTTTGTGACAATACTTTCTTGACTTGTTGCATCTCTGGGGCTTCTTCTTTTCTGTTCTTTCTGCCCAGAAGAGCCCTAGCTGTACTGTAGGGGCTCTTAGTGTTCCCCTTTGGGTCCTGTGCACACGTAGCAGGCACAGAACACTCGAAGTACAGCCCTAGAGTCAGACTTCCGGCATTCAGACCCCAGCTCCATCATCAACTGGTAAACTGGATACCCTTAGGCGATTTAATAATCTCTCTGGCCTCAGATCCCTGGCCTTCAAAATCGAGATAATAATCGGATCTCTCATATTGAGCTGAAGTGAGGATTAAAATAAAACGAGCACAGTGAGAACAGCCCCTGTCGTTGCTGGGCTGGTGATCGTTCGGCAGATTAGGACGCTGCATCCCATGTGTGCCACCGGTTTTATCTTCATTTCCCTTTATCTGCACTGATCCCTCTTGCCAAAAAAGCACGCAGGTCTGTTCGCCTTCTTGTCGTCTGAGTACCACTCACCGTTTACAGCAGTTCTCCTCCACACAGCCCTCCCTGTCCTCACTGCGTTTCTGTGCGGCTTTGCTCATCAGACACGGGTTGTGACACTCTCTGTGGTCTGTGATGCGTGAAGTTGCAGTGTGTGTCTCCCCCAGACTGAAGTTCCTGGATGTTTCCATGTGTGCTTCATTGACCTTTGCGTCCTCCCAACCGACCAGAGGAGATGCCCGATGCATTCTTCTTAAGAATACAAACGTTTTCCTACTGGCCACCTGTGGTCTAGTCCAAGTTTGGAGAAAAAGAACGAAGGAGAAGTGGAGAAGTCAGGGGAAGGGAAGAAAGTAAATGGAAAAATCAAATAGGAAGACAAAGAGGGCAAGGAAAGAAATGCACTCATTTCTTCTGTAGAGGAGAAGACATTCATTTTTCGCCCCACCAATCAGGTTTTCTCTCATAAAAAAAAAACTGATTCATGTACCATTATATATACTTTGAAAAGCTGTTATGAAATCAAGAGTGGTCACTTCTTACACCTAATGGTAGCTGAGAATCTGATGAAGAGTGGCCATAGGGACCCAGCTGACTCATAGGCCAGGCACCCCGAGGTTAGTTTTAGGTCTTCTGGGTGTTTCAGTTTCGTAGAACAGCCAAAGCTGTATAGTTCATGCATCTTAAATTATTAACCAGAATTACATTCTAACTCATTGATCAGACAGATATGTTGCTTAAGAACAAAGGTATTGAACCTGTCAATTAGTTTTGGAGTCAGGCTCAAAATAAAGGGCTATAGTATCTTACAGGAAAGTGTATATGTTGACTCTTGAACAAGTCGGGTTAGGGGGCACTGACCCTCCACCCAGTTGAAAATCCATGTATAATTTTGAGTTGGCCCTTCATACTCGCATCCTTGGATTGAGCCAACCTTGGATTGTGTAGTACTTTAGTATTGAAAAAAAATCCGAGTATGAATGGACTTGTGCAGCTCAAACCCATGCTGTTCAAGGGTCAGCTGTACTTATCCACTCTGTCTCCTCAAAAAATGTTTTCCCTTTATCTTTTCCCAAGGTCAGTTCAGATTGAAAACTGCAGAACATCCCAGTGCATTGTTTCACATTCACATGTAAAAATTTATCTTTATAAGTTCCTTTCAATTGAATAATAATATGGTCTTAAGTTGGTCTGTGGCTCCCAAACTTACGACACAATTTCACCTTCCGTTTTTCCTTCTTGATCTAGTTTAAAGGTTGCTCTTATATAATACACGGAGATTAAAGCGATCACAAGCTCTCCCTGTTTTATAAAGTTGAAAAGGTGACTGAATGATTTCCATGTACTGAATGGACATTCAAGTAAGGATTCATTCGTGTTAATATATTTTAAATTCATCTTCCAAAGCACTAATGAGCATTTCATGGCAAAGAAAATTTAAAGTCTCGTATCCGCGGGTTTTGTCAGGATGTATGTAACTACACACTAGTGAGTGAGGAATACATGGTACGTTCTTTTCCTGTAATCTACTGAGTTCTGTCTGTTTCTTACGGCAGTAGCTTTAGCTCTTAATGTTCGCTGTTTAGAATTCATTTACAAGAGTCAGAGGAGTAAATTTCTTTGACAGTAGTGCTTCGAAGAAAATGAAGATCCTTTTCCATATGCTGAATCTTTGGAACTTTCGGGAGAGCACCATACAGTTTTATCAGTATTGAATATCGCACTCCAGACACTATTTGAAATCAGACTTCTATCCTGTGGCTTTAGGAAATTAAAATGCAGTTACATGCTGGAATGTACTGAGCATGCTGTGAAACATGGTCATTTGAGATTTAAATGGCAATCTGTGAGAAACTGCTCTCTTCTCTGGGGCCAGTTTTACTTTTACATGACCTAAACTCTGACTCAGAAAAGACAGAACTTATTACGGGCAATATTGTTAGTCGGCATGGTGCTTTTTTCACTCAATCTTACTTCTCTTTTCAGCTGTTCAGTAGTTAAATTACTCTGTGAAAGGCACAGCTGATCACCATAGGTGTCTCTAAAACAGACCTTGGCTACAAGGTACATCAGTGGCCACTTGCAAGAAAAATTACATTTCCCCCCATCCTGAATTGCAGTGAGCGTCTGGAAATCCTATTCTTCCTTGTCGTCAACATCCCCACCCCCAACCCTGCACATTTTGGGGATTTGGCTCCCATGGTTATTTGCTCAACTAAGAAGTCTGTGTAACAAGAAAAACCTTTGTATTTACTACTTTCTGGTACTATGGAAGGCAGAGCTGGCAAACTGAAGTAACTTGAAAAATTTTAAAGAAATCCTTTGTTCATAAATAGGTTTTTGTTTTTTAATTCAGGACCTCTGCTTACTCCAAAGAAAGGATTTCAGAAGTTTTTCAAATGATTTTTAGGTAAAAGTCTGGTGGATTGCTTTTTAAATTAATAGTTGGATATGTATACATTTCAGAAATTCTGCATCACAGTCACATCTTACTCTTTTGCTTAAATTATTTAAGTATTTACTGGAAACACTAGTAGAAAATTTATTCAAATGCGTAAGACCGCCACTAAGAAAGAAATTAAATGACCCATAGATTCGTCAGACAGCAGTAGTCATTGTTAATATTCTATGCTCCCCTGATCTTTCTTTTTTTCTGTGCCTATGTGTGTGTATGTTTTTAAACAAAACAGGAATCATGCTTCACACTTTTGTTACTGTTTTTACTTAATACTTTGTGTTGCTTCTTACTTTTAGTAAAACCTACTTGACCGTTAACTTGGTCATTGAGCAAACAAATGCCATTACTTATGTGATAGCATCTAATACAGATAGTTTGCAAGTGTCATTGAAAGAGTAAACCAGATGTTTTGGAGTTGGTTTTAGGGCCATAATAAACTATGATTTGATCTGACTCTTAATGTTGCACAGTATTGTATTGTTTTTGTTGGTAGCAAAATCGTTTTGGTTCCAGATTTACAAAAAAATTAAAACTTTGCTGAGCACATGCTATTTCCCAAGCACCGTCCTAGGTTTTCGCCTGCCTTGCCTCAGTTTATCCTCAGAACATAATTAAATGCTCCATCCCTGACCCCTCAGATGTTATTTATTGCAAAAAAAAAAGCAAGTAATTGTTTGTAATCAGAAATTTAAAACAACTTTAATTCAAATATTGGTCTATAATTTTTATAGGTACTTTTAATATTTCTTTTAGAGGATCTAATTAGAATAAGCATTATTTCTGTTTCTACTTACAATTACAGAAGTATGCACTTTATTTACCACAGATTAGTCTAGATTTCACTCCCTCTTTTCTATATACATCCTTTGAAATGTTTGCCAGCAATTTCCTAATTTGTCTCTAATGTAACTAAGTCATAAATTACTAGTAAGGATTTTGAATTTAAATTTACTATAAAAATAACAGCACCTAATTTTGACTTAGTGCTTTATGCATTTACCCAGGTTAGAGAATTTCCAGAACACCTAAACTCTTCCCAGCAATTGCTGAAAATCTAAACTAATACAAGAAACTTTTTCCTAATTTGACCCTCATCCTCTGAAACTCTTGAGGCTCGAAACTATATTATTTTATGTTGTTTCATTTGTCTCTTTTCCTCTCTCTTTACTCCATCGTTCTTTTTCGCTGGCATGGTTCCGTGGCACTTTTTCTCTACTTCTGCAATGTCTGTCATATATGCCCACAGAAAAAGCAAGTCCGCCTCTGACTGTGCCTCTGTGTGTCCCCCTCTGACTGTGCCTCTGTCCCGTACTGGCTTGCCTGGTTTCTGCAAGCCTGGCATCATTCTATGTTCGGTCCCTCAAAAGAAAATGTGCTTCTGCCATAATGTCACCTTAATCACTGGGAAATGATGCCTGATGAGAAAGCAAATTTACCAAAACTTCCTAGGGCCCCTAGCAATGTGCTAATCGGATAACTTATGATTAAGTAGACAGTGTCTTCCATAACTAATTCAGATGTAAAATTAAGCTGCTGCTGTTCTAATACTTCTGAGGGTAAAATTTTTTTCAAATCTAGATTTGAGGTTTACCTACCCATTTGAAGATCCAAAGTGAACCATGTTGATTGTTGGGTACTTAATAAACATAAATTCTTTGT